GTACTGGCTGTTTTCAAACCTTTCACAAGCTCATCGTTGCTTAGCAACATTCTCATTTGTCGTTTGTAGCAACGCTGTTCATCTCGTCCAAGTTCGTGACACTGTTTGGGCTATATCTGCTGTTGCATCTATTGCAATGCCCTTCAGAACTGAAGCTTATTAATTTGGTGTGGCAACTAGAGAGTTTTCGCAGGTGTATACTGTTCTGATCGCTAAGTTTGCTAGCAGTATTTCAGCAAAAGTTGATCCAGCTGGAAGGCGCAGTTAACGTATTTCAAGCTCCAGCTCTGGTGAGCTGGTGGTGATGTATTGATAACACCGACACAACAAGCTTTTTCACTCAAACTGGCTGTAGTAATTTGGTATGGAATGCTGAAGCTACGGAACTTTGGGCGGTCAACTGCTTTGAAACAAACTGGAACTGACAATGAAGTGGTATCTCTAGACAAACGCTGAGTAGACACTTGAAATTGTGCTCTAGTGGCCTATTTTCACCTAAGATGAAGCTTGGAAACGAACTCTCTGGAAAGTCCCCGGTTGTTCACATATCCGTCACCTAAGCTACGCACCGCTGTCAAACAATACATGCGAATAAATCAAGAAATGTCTCATTATTAGATGGATTGTTTTAAGTGGCCACTTACCTAGTGCATGTAATGATTGCATTTGTGACCCCAGTTTCATCAGATAGTTCAAACTTTCTGTGTTCGCTTGGGGCAGAAACTGGTATACATGAAAGGACCTTCATAACTATATTTACGAACATCACACTTTGGAAGTTACATAGTGACTTAACCTGCCTCTTCCTCATAACTTTTACCCACAGCCTGCTACAGTGGTCACATTCTGAAGGATTGCACGTCCGCGATTACAGAACTTAAGGAATGAGGTTAAAATCTCTAAGTTGCACTTATCGATATACCAGCTTACTATATTTGGGCCGTTTTTACAGAGTTACGTGGCAAACTGTATGGTGTCTGATACATTGTGCCTTAATGAGGATTTCTATACGTGCTGGTGGGAGTCCGAACGGCTGACTTCTGTCTTATTGCTGAGTGAAAATTTCATCGTAAAGATTTATGCTAAGATTACTCTAAGGCTAGGGGCCAGTTTATTCTCTTGCAGTCGGAACATGTTGAACTTCAGGAAAAACTGAGTTAAACATGAGAGATATTCTCGTACTAAACACAGAAACTGGAAGCTGAAAACTGGAAGTGGGAACTCAATAGGTTTGGGATGATGCGAGTAGCCATTGGTGCGATTTCACAGCCTTTCTAAATGTAATTTTCGCGAGGTGTATTTTCAGTTAAAGGTGGTGAAAGGATGACCGTTTTTAGAGGATGCAAAATTCTTAGATGCACGAAAGTCCGCTCCACCATCTCAAATGTGAGATTAGTTGGTTGGTCATTGGTGAATTATTCCAATAGGCGGGCAGGTAAAACCCTGACGGTGATACACAGTTTGCGAGAAGTCAAAATGATGAGTTTTTATCCAGTGTGAAGATCTTTGCGTTTTTATCGGGAAACTTGGTGGAAGTATTTAGCCCATACTTTCTACAAGATGGAGGTGCAGTAAGTAGGTGTTCCTCTCGTCTTCTCGTGTTTTCCATAGATACATGGTCCAAATATCTTTTGAACATTCTACTCACTCCCGGCTTGTCCTGATTGAGCCACATTCCCCCGTTTAGCATGTATTCACCAGCAGTGGGTAAATCTGGACTAGTTCGTCCATCACTCGGTTCCACCACTAAGATAAATAACAACCGTTCAGCTGTAATACCCTTCTGGTCCATAACTTCTGTGGCATTCGAAAGAAGCACGAGGGCTGAGATGCTGTCAGGTTACTCAGGCCTATACAGGAGCAGTCGAAATGGCTGGGGTTAGACCTCACCTTAACCAGTGAGGAATCACGAGGTCTCTTTAATCACTAAAGCCGGGAGAACCGCTGCCCCTTGCCAAATGCTTACTTCACCTGACTTAATCAATTCACTCTTCGGAAGAGTGATTTTAACACCAGGGTTGGCAAAGCGAACGAGATATATCATTGCGGAGCATATTTTATAGTGAGTTTCCCATTTATTATTGACCAGGTGTTATGATGAATGATTTCATCATATCTTCATTATCATTACGAAGAGGAACATACGCGACAATAACGTAAAAACGAAGCACACATATCTTAGTTTACAAATCAAAATAATGATTCTAAAGGGCTGGAACGTTGCAGCTGATCTCGAAATTTTATATTTTTCTGAACAGTTGACAGGTGAAGCGCGAAAATACCAGTTACTTCTGAGAAAAGTAGTGGTGTGTACAGTGCAGGTCTTCATAAGATTCGCTCAAATGAGGTCCACTCAGCTGATCTGAATGCACCAACTGATCAGATAAAACAAGGATATTTAAAGCCATTCAGTTAGTTAGCTGCTGGAAGAAACAACTTCCAGACTGACCCGATATAACGTAGACGTGCAAGCCAATTGAAGTCGTGAGACGAATTCATATGTTTTACAATTTGTTTCTTGAAACCTACGGTGCCTTGCATTTGAACAAACTGTCACCAAGGTCAGAGTGACCACCATGGAGCTAATGTGACTTGCCTATCTTTCATTTTGTGTGAGATACCTTCCTCACGGTTCGGCGCACAGCGATGTGGCGAATGAATTCAAGCCTAAAAGTTTCCCATTAGTAACGCTGCTCGTAACTTACGGTGGTGCTATCTGCTGTGTTTTGTTTTCCAGTTTCATGAAGCCATAATCGATCACAGCTCTTCTGGAACAGAACGGTGGTGCTATCTGCTGTGTTTTGTTTTTCAGTTTGGTGAAGCCATAATCGACAGTAAGTCGTCGATCATAGCTCTTTTGGAACAGATAGCTCCTGAATAGGGTGGCATTTGAACCCACCCAAACTAAGGATTGAAAATATTGGCGGATGGTTTCTTGACCTACCGTAATGTGTGATATATAAACAGGTTAGCCTGGCGAAAGTTGTTATAAGGAAAACCTCCCTAAGGATGAGGGGATACAGATAACTTAAGGCTGTAATGAGCTGATTGCTGAAAATGTTCCAATGCGACATCTTAGAGAAGGAAATACCGAGCTAGTCTCATCAGTTATTCAGGTTCTGACCAATGAGGAATACATGTGCAGTTTCGAACAAAATGCAAGAAAGTATACATGGTAGAGGGATTGAAATCCTTTGGTATGTTAAGGCAGCACAGCTGACTATATTATGTGGCCTGACGCCTTATGTGCGAATGGGAGGAATACATCAAGTCACTTTGACTGAGGGGATTAAAAAAGATGTTTTTGCAAAGTTCGGATACGAGGAGGCGGATGATGACAGCCTCGTCGGCTGCTAGGTCCCCTAGACTGACCGCCTGGGCGGTTTTGTGGTACTTAGTACAAGATCCTTAATGCTGAATATCAATTGATGACATTCCCTTGAACTGGCTGGGTTTCTTGAAGTCTTAAACCGTTTTCTGTGATGGATAGACCGTTCAAGATAGTATGTGTTAGGACAAATTGATTAACGTGTATGTTACCTATCAAATCCTTCAATTTGGGTGACTATCCAAAAACAAAGCCGCTTTTACGTGAGAAAAAGTAAGGAACACCGAACAGGATAATACGAGACACATATGTGAGTCATTGGAAACCTTACGAGACCCGATGGCCATCGAGCCACAGTGTGTTGTTTCATCCAGTTTTCTATCGTAATTGCATTTACTCTAACGAACCCGTTGTACGAATATCCCACGCTGACTAGTCTTTAAAATCAAGACAGGTTTAACCAAGAAAGAAAAAGATAGTAGTCGACAGTACTTACGACAACCGCTCCATGTGACGGTCGAATCTTAAATTCTCAACTGAGGTCACAGGCAGGTGCAGGATATTGTGGAACCAGAATGTTAAGTAGGCCCTCTCCCTCTCCAAGAGGCCCACATTGGAAGAATTGTGTGCTGCCAGAAATGTCGCCCGATTTCACGTCTCCTCTTCGAGGTTCCACACGGGAAAATTGTTTGTGTGCTGCCAGAACTGTCGCCCGATTTCACGTCTCCTCTTCGATGTTCCACACGGGAAGCAGTGTACTATGGAAACCGTCCGATTTATGTAGTCCGTTTAGTTAGTTAAGCTGAAACAAACTCCGTTCAAATCGTGACGTTCATTTGCATATCAATCATTGCAGAATGACTGACGGTAAAAGTGAACTCGTCGGTGAGGGAATCATTGTACTCAACGATAATAATGCTAATAGTGATGCTGAGTATTTTGCCATTCTTCTATCACTGAAAAAGTATATGTTCTCTGACGCCCTGTTATTCCGATATACTTATTGTTAAGGAATACCCCATCGTCCGTTTGCACTTTCTTACAGGAAAGGCACAAAAGTAAGTTGTAAAATTAATAGACGAGAGTTCTATGCTAGAAGGTTTCGTCTGGTTATTGGCTACCACATAAATCATAAATCGATGTGTACTCGTACGAAACTCCCTCCAGTCCGATTCAACAAAATCTGCTCTGGGTTGCTTCCCACTTCCATTTTTGGTCCAGTTAACTTCAAAAAATGTAGTGACAACACTTTATGCACGAGGACCCCATGTTGTGGTCTAGTTCGCATCCTGATCTGATGTAAAGCCAGGTAAATTCAGGTACCCCAGGAAGCTTAGCCATTGGTGTGGTAGTTGTGTGTAGTAAGTTCACTGTTTTCTTAAGAACATGAGCTTTTTCGGTTAAGAATAGGAACCAACCAGTCGTCTTCTAGAGGACATTCTCCAGGTGTGTCTATTAGTGGAGCGTCAGATCGTCTAGACTCACACTAAAGAGTTGCTGTTTCTGCTGAGTCAATCAGAACGGTGCACAGTTTAAAGGTCATAGTAGGCACTGGGTCAGGGGAAAGGTCATTGGTTTCTGGCAACACAGACTTTATGAGTTTGCGTTTTTCAGCATTAGATTTGTTAAACCCGATTCAGCTAATCAACTACTTCAAACTCTTTTTCAGGCAATGACATCGTTTGCCAAAGTATGCATGGATTTGTCGAACAATCTTCGAAGCCTTCGATTCACACGTTCTGGTTCACCTGTACCACCGGACAGAAACAACAGCTTCACAAAGCCAAATAATATCAGTAGCAGCACGTCAAAGACAAAAACACGAATCGGAAAGTCAAATGGGAGCGTTGTAAGCTTAAATGAACCACGAACTACAGCAGTTGGAAGCCATGAATCTGAACATCAGAATGAAAAGCCTGGAGCTCAGGCCACACGTAGAAATTCTGCTCAGGTGACCTCCCCTACACAAATCAAAAACGATACTTTCATTTCTTCTGAAATCAGACCCTCCAATACTGATCCAGCTAAAGGTCGAAAAAATTCCGACCGTACTTCTCCCAATCGTCCTCCGTCTTCCCCAAAGTCTAGAGGGAAACTGGGGAAGACTGTTGGTGAGTCCACAGTGAACCATGTAAGTCTCCCTCTTCCGAACGGGGATGCTATGGGTGCAGATAGAATTAATGTTACTGGAACCACTGAACACCACGAGCTGAGATCTTCGACACGCTTCCGCACCAAATACTCTTGTTCACCGACTGTGGGTCACCGATCAGTAGCCATACATGCAAGTCAAGGTCGCATCAGTGGTCACGAGGATGCATCGATCCCAATTAAAGGGAGAAGTTACAACACCTCGTCTTGTGCATCACCAATATTCCCACATCACGGGATAACAGTTGCTGCAATCAAACAGCGATTATTAAACCAGGGTCTAAAGCTGGACCTGACTGTTCCGGTTAGGAAAATTCCGAAGTCGCGTTACCGAAACTGTTTTCGTCGACTTACTCGTGGTTACCCTTTGACAACAGATGACTTGTGGCAAAACGAAAAAATTCTTACAGGTATTTTCGCACTGCTCAGTGGACGGGAAATGTTAGCGATGTGCAGAGTGTGCAAATCTTGGTTTCATTTATTGTGCAAGTATGGCTTCTGGAACAGAGTCGCGATGACCCTTGATATTCGCATGGTGTTAGCTCAGGCACAGGAGGAGACAATGCAAACAAGCACGATGATTGACAGAGAAACCGACAACGACTGTGCTGCAGATCCGGTTGAAACACATCTTGAACGACGAATTACCGAACGACTAAAGACAGCGGTCCTGAGGAACATACAAAATCTGACGATTTCATATTTGGCTGATCGATGTGCCTTAGTATTCTTGAATTCTCTAACAAAAGTCTTACAGACGTCCTACGTCGAAATGGTTGTAAAACCTGTGAGTAATTCTTTTCAACGACCACTTCGGCTGGACACTCAGGATACTCATTTAGTAACGATAAACAAAGGTAACTTTCCACCTACTGCGACGACCAACGTTTCGCCAGTTACCGAAGCACGACCTCCACTCTCAGATATATCATCGGCACCAGCGACAAAACCCCAGACAATGAAAAATTCCAATTGTCCCGCTGATTCACTCTTTTTCTCCTCCTTGAAGGGAGTGAGTTCATCCAACAACGAAGCACCGGACTCTTCATTCCAGAGTTTTTCAGATTCTCCACTATTATCAGCTGCTCAGGGAGGATCGAATGTAAGTGAACAGGACAAAACCTTGAAGACAATATTCACCCAACTCATCTTACGGGGTTGTTCAATAACAGACTCTAACTTGGCTCAGATCGTTAGGCTTTTGCATGGCCTTAGTACCCTGGAAATCCAATGCTGCAACGAACTGACGGAACTTGCATTTTGGACTTGTCTTGTTCCAACAATTACTGATTTGCGCGTGTTCGACTGCATCAATGTGTCGGATGAAAGTATGGGGGCCATTACTCAACTCTTGCCCAATTTAAAGCACCTTACCTTACAGGCCTATCACGTGACGGATTCCGCGTTCAGCTATTTTAGCCCACAACAACGTACCACATTGGAAACAGTGAGGCTGATTCAGTGCATGGATCTTACGAATCAAGCCGTCATTAATCTTGCTTTCGCTCTGCCCCAGCTACGACATCTCAGTTTGAGTGGATGTACCAATTTAACTGACGACGGTCTGGACGTGGTTTGTGAAAATTTGAAGCAACTGGTGGAACTTGACCTCTCCTGGTGCGCCAAACTGACTGACGGCGTACTCGAATGCATCGCTTGTGATCTATTATGCTTGCAGAAGTTGATCTTGGATAGGTGGGTTATGCGTATAGAGGCATGAAGTTCTTATTTTGAGTATTTGAACCAATTAGTATGCAAACTGATGTGTCCACCTCCAATTGTATGCGGCTACATGCTCGGTGTTTGGTATGTAAATGCCCATCCAAGTAAGGGAAAGTGAGGGAGAAGAGAATGCTAGGCCTGCCATGGTGGAGGACACTTTTGTAGGCTGATAATAACTTCCGAGAGAAGTCCACGGCTTTGAAGGAAATCAATGAAAGTTGTATGATAATATACATGAATGTGGCTCACTCATTTGACAGTCCAGCACTTTTAAAGGGCTTCTACATGAAATGCCACACCTGACTGGTTCACTTTAAAGCCACTGGTATTGTCCGAAATGTCTAACCTGGACGTTGTCAGACAGCATCCTACTTTCAGTATGACCTTTACACGTGTGGGTTTAGCTTGGTCTTGTTCAATGGAAACATCTAGCAGTGTCTCCTCGGAGCAAAATTATGTGGAACTTTAAGTGATTTGAAAATCTCTGAGATAACTTTCAGTCCTATAGGATCAAGAAGCAACTTTGAACTGTTACGAGTACGGCGAGGAAATGACCAAGTAGTTGTGTTGATTCTCTGATAATACTTAGACGTGGTGAAATCAGCAGGTTACAATAGGACTTTCTACTATCGGAAAGCTACTTCGAATTCCGGAACATCCGCCCAACTAAAACTCGAGTTGGCCATCAGGGTGCACACGCGGTTAAATGCCATTCTGACTGTAGTGTTCATTTCAGCTTCCAAGTGTGCAACTGAGCCATTTATTCTGTCACGACGTGGCTTGAGTTTCATTCTCCAGAAAGAAGGGACTGAACTGAGTTGTTTATCGCTGTTTCTGAGTCCAGTTTCCTCAAGGCGGAATCGGTATATTTGTCATCCCAGTGATAACAGGGATTTCCGTCGGAGAGAAGAACGTGACTAAATAATCAGTATAAAAGGGTAGATCAGAAGTTTATTTGACTTTCGAAGAATTTTCTTATCAGCCGGAAAACCGGGGTGCGAATGCACCATCAGAATATCTTTTGGTGCTCCCAAGTGGATCAGATGTTCCAGAAGTTTATTTGACTTTCGAAGAATTTTATTATCAGCCGGAAAACCAGGGGGCGAATGCACCATCAGAATGTCTTTTGGTGCTCCCAAGTGAATCAGATGTTTGAGAAATTGTAAGCTTTCCCAAAATTGGCGGGATAGGTAATATCCAAAAGGTCATTCTGAGAAAGGTTACTTCTGATGACTAGATAATGCCTAAGCAGATATTACAGTCGCCTCATGTAACCTCAACCCATAAGAGGCCAAGCTACCTTCCACTTGAGAATCATTTCGCTCTTGCAGCTTGTGATTTGGACTGAAACTGACAGACCACTTCCAACTCCCGAAGAAGATCAATCTAGGCTTCCAAAAGTGGTTTCCAGCTACGCAAACCTAAAATGCCAGAGTACTGCGTTAATAATAGAGCCTTCCATGAAGCCGGCTGCCCTGAAGAGGGTGCATCAACACTCCTAATCGTCCACAACCAAATTCTATTTTAACGGTATAATGAGCTAAAAAACTATCGTAAGGAAAAATAGCCTATCTGTGGTGAGAAACATAGAAGTTCTTGAAGATCAGCTGTTTGGCACATTCGTTTAATTTCTAGGGGATGTTCTGGACATTTATGCATCTCACTTTACAGCTTACCATCTCTTTGCGCACAGAACTCAAAAGTAGTACATGCACGGCAGCCAGGTTTATCAGAAAACACTAAAAAAGCAGCGATATAAATGGTTAGGCAGTGGCGTCCTCAAAGAGCCACTTCCGAAGGCATGTCTTTCTTCTAGAAAATGTCCACCATCCCTTTCTGAAGATGAACCGCATCATCAATACATGATCCCGTATATCATGCGTATTGAATGATATTGATCACCCATAAGTTCACACTACAAATAGTTCACACAATGATGACTCATGGCAATCTTGCGGTGATGCTGCCATATACCTTAAAGATTCGGAAGTATGATCTTGACCATGTGGTTCTTGGTCTGTTCACCGAACTTTCGGTTAACTTGAGGACGTTTTGTCACAGTGCGCCGTATGTTGCTTCACATCTACAAATATTATCCACGCAGGTAAGGAGGAAATCCTCACCCGACTATGCACTAATAATGTCACTTCAATCAGTCTCAAGCTAGCCGCCAATCTCGGATTGCAGATCAACAGCCACTTGGTCAACTGCGAAGTGTTCGAACTTTCGACACCTTAGCGCACGGTGGTTTCACTGCTTATTTAACTTGCTAGTACGGGTGATTACCAGGGAAGCCGTTTACAAGAACAGAGCTTCCTGTGAAGTGGGTGTCTGACTGTAAATCAACTGTAAATCTGTTTGGATAAGTCAGCGTTGAAGTGCAAGAATTATGTGGATGTTCAGTATCACTCATGGTGGATAAAGTGTTGCCAACGTACCAAGAATTGGATCAGCTTCTGTTGACTGGTTTGTGTTGTACTGGAACATTGTTCAATCATAATGGTGTCATCAGAGCCTGGGCTGACAAACAGATGGGCAACAAACACAGAGACTATGTTCGGGTACAGTGAAGCCCCTATCGATAAACGAGCATGTTTTTACAACAACACGATTCTGTCAGCAAGATGGTCTGCAAGATGATAGCAGGACGATAGAAAGTCCCCAACTCCCCATCTTTGAGTTGGGGACATGACAGCGCAAATGGAATTTTAGGTGAACAAAACCCACTCCCGAGAAATGCACTCATTTGCAAAGCAATTTAGTTTTCACGAGAG